ATTATAGTGTTACTAGTTCGGCGATTAGATAAAATATAAATTATATTTGATGCAACTTTAGTTACATTTCCATGACTTTTCCAAAACTTTGGGAAAAATATTGTTTCCATAACTTTTCCAGTGCCTGCAATTAGCATTTTGAATTTCCATGACTTTTCCAGGTTTTTAATGACTGTAAGAACCCTGTAATGAGGTAACAATCGCAAAACTTCCTCCTGTAATTCCAGCGTGAATTTTTACCATCAATTGAATGGTAGTGAAAAGGCAAACAAAGCAGAGGACTCGTACATGTGTTGAACTGACTGTAGACCAGAAGACATCAGTAAGCAAACCCTCACTGTAACGACACACCTGATCCATGACAAATGCTCTGCACTTGTGTTGAAAACCGTGAAAAGGCATTCTTCCGAACCATGCTCTAGTTTCTTGAAGTTGTACATGAGTGGGAGATAACGGACAGGGTCACCACCGTATGAACAGATAGTGCTCGCAGTATGATAGAGACACCAAGAACACTACCAACCGTACCATACTAGCTTATGAGTAGCGCACATTACACAGAGGGTGATCACAGCTGCTCTCCGTGACAGAAGCTTTGTCAATGCTTTGCCAAGTGTTGGAAAATGTTCAGACTTCATGCCAATAATTCAGAAATCATGTGACAATAAAGTAAACAACAGCTGATTTCTCTTAGCAGCTTGTCAGACATTTCCTCACCACAACACCATACATTCATATTATACCATACAAGTAAACAGTAGTATTTAAAACGTACATTTTTTTTGTGATTGACGCGATTATTCGATTGACAGCACATATGAGTCAATGTCAACTCAGATGTTGCACGTGTCCTTGTTCATGTGATGTTAAGTATTGTTTTTGTACGTTTTTGTGTTTCTCTTATTTTCCTACGATCCTGTTATGATTGGCTGTGAATAAGAAAATATGAAGACAGACCATATTTTTCTATTTATTTGTTTAGAAAGGGGCAGGTCATATAGATTATTTTCTTCTCCCTGCTGCTTTTCGGGTACGGTGTGTTTATAGAGACATGTTTTGTAAATAATTGTTATACATTAAGTTGTGCACCCCATGAATGGAACAAATACAAATGAAATGAAATGTCACCAATCTTCCAGGTGCTGCCAAAAATAACACCATGTGTCAGGCAGGACCGCTGCAAAACAAAAGGGGCAGCCACGATTCATGATCCAGATATAACCTCTAATACTGGAAACATGCCTTCAGGTTGAGTCACACAGTCAGGAAGCTCTAACAAGGACCAACTCCTCCCCAGCTGTGAAGTCACACGGAGCGTCACATCTGGATTGATTGGGATATCTTTGTTTCAGCGTCCACCTCCAGAGCAGCTGCTGCCTACGCCTTATTGGGGGCTTTATGGGATGGATGTGTGACGGCCAGGAGACGCCCCTCCCTGCAGGATCAGGGCAGATTATAGGAAACATGGGAAACACAGACCTCGTGTCAAACCATGCAGCCCACATCCCATGAAAACACAGAAAGAGGCCTTACCAAGCATATGTTTCTTTTGGCTACGATAAATATGCAACTGTGTCCTCGCTTCATGACTTAAGTTCCCTTACTAGTCATGAGGAATGAGACTCAGCCTGTGTTGTATAATGTCCTCTGTGTCTCTAGTCTGAGAAGAAAAAAAACCAACACGGACGTCATAGTGGTTTCATCAGGATTATTTTTAGGCTCAGGCTTGAGAAATTGCGTGACAAAGCAAGGAGGAAGAGGTGGACATTTAGGATGCAGAGAGGCTCTGATGAAAGATGCTACTGAGATGCATTATGGGAACGAACGATCCAGTGTTTTTTACCCAAACAAAGGGACTGAAAACCTTCTACAGGGATCAGTGAATAGTGCATTTAGCTAAGGCCCTATATCTGCTCCTAATGCATACGTCTTCACAACAGAGGCAACACAAATGGTAATGTGTTACCTTATATTGTATGAGTTAAGGCAACCAAGTAAACCTGGTGAAGGTGAGGGAAAGATTGTGCCATAGTTAATGATCCTGAGATGTTAATTAGGTCCCTACAATGAGCCATATATTCTGACCTGAATACAAAAGTGTCTGCCAGATATTGAGCCAATTTTGTATTTGTTGTATTTCTGTTTTTGTCCCTGCTTTTCTTACTGGTTCGAAACGGGCAGGGTTTTTAGTTTCTTTGTTTACCGTGGTGGCATGCGAGAAAGAAAAAAACAATTCAAGGTCATACTGGGTGAGTAATTGATATACAAATAATGATTTTCCGTGTTTTTTTGTGTCTTAAGTATGTAAAACACGACAAATCTGGGTCTTAAAACCAAACCAAAGTGTACTCTTAGTAGAAGAAGGGATACACATTACAGTATTTGGTGTCAAAGTCACACTTGCAGCAGTATTACAGCGCCGTACAACTTCCACTGCATATTTTGCCAGACTAAAAGAAGGTTGCATGTCAAAGAAATGTAAACTGTGCTTCAACCTGTGTCGAATACCTAAAAGCAGATAGTGATGGTGATACAGTTGAATGGGAAAGTGTTTTAAACTGTCCATCTCTTTGCTTTTCTCCTAATGATTATGGTCTATTTGTTCCCTTAAACCCCTCAAGAGTTATCCACAGAGAACATTCTTCTGGCCTTCCACATCCATCATGTTGCCAGAAGATGTACAAACAGCATGGGGAAGTTTATCCGACCACAGGCATGGAGGCACCACCGAGGTCTCAGAGTGTTTCTATCCCATGATCCTCCACTGACCTGTGCTCACGTGGCAAGACTGAATCCTTAATTGAAAGTGACTTTGATGCCGTGCTTACGAATTCCATGCATACATGCGGTCAGGGGCATCTTGCAAAGAATTTCTAGCAGCGTTGCACGAGAGCAAGGTCATCTATATGAGACACAACACCACTGCTACTGTGAGAGCCTGCAAGAAGAGAAATACACACTATAGATACATGAAAGATCCATTGAAGAGAGATGATGAAACCATTACCTGCACCATTGAAACAGACCTTGACTGCATCATGCTCCGTGTGTAACACCTTGGGGTTAACACCTCGTCTGATCTGTATATATATATATATATATATATAAATATATATATGTATATGTCATGAGTGTGTGTGCAGGCGAGACAGCAGGGCCCCAGCACACATTTATCTTCTTATGTAACAACTGGAAAAGTACTAGCACATGCAGGCTCAACCAAACCAAAACATCAGCAGCAGGGATTTGGCCCGTCTCACAATCTGGAGTAAATTGAGTTTAGCACGTTTCCTTAGCACACATATCCCGACACAAATCAATTTGTTCGGACCACTCCTCCACCGCATTCTCATTAACCCGGGGTCACACCCACCGCCGTACTCATTATAGGACCTCTCATCACTCTCTTCTCTATTAGCCGCCCTAAATGAGTAACCACAGTGCCTTTCGACCCTTCAACTGGCTCATTTGAACATTCCTCTGTAGATATATGCAGGTGACAACGGTTTCAAATCTGTGTTGTAAGACACGACCTGAATCAGTCTTAAACAGACTTGTTATCTCAAGCAGCTGTTATATACGACACATATGTGTATTCAAGCTGGCATGCCCTGGGTCTCTGACTATTATTTTATTGATTTGTTCCCCAGCATTAAGATCAATCAGCTAGGGGTTTCCAATATGGATACAATTGTAAATCACGGTTACTTGATATATGAGATGCAGAGGTTTTATAGCAGAGAGCTGTAAGAGGCTGATGGAGCTCCATTATAACCGCACTGCTTGGTAAGTAAGGCTGCTTTCGACCTATTACCAGTCACTGAGTTATTTACTGTATACTCCGTATCCTGAGACTCACTTGAGACAATAACTATACTATGCAGAGGGTTGCTCGACGAATATTGTTATAATCTTACTATTCTTACAGTAAATATCCAATTGAAATCTCTGTGAACTTACTAATGAACGGATAAAAGCCCATTTCAACTGCCTGATTGGAGAATCGCTCTATAATGTTGATAGAACTAATGTTTTTTTGTCATTATCATTTGATACGCTTATTATTGTTTGGTGTAAACAATGTGGAAATGGTGAATTATTTAAGGTGAAGTCTTTAAATGTCTTGTTTTGCAAACCCTAAAATATATTCACTTTAATAGGAAATCAATCCAGAAATGTCAATAGTATTCAGCATTTTGTGACATATTTGAATGAAATGTAGGATTTTACGATTAATCATAATCATTATCAAACGACTTATCAATTGTTTTTCAGTACATCAATTCATTGACTAATGTATCCACTTAAACACGCACACTTATGTATATATATATATATAGACATTCGCATCTCTGGTTGCTATAGAAAATGTTGTTATTAACTGTGCCAGTCAGAGTAGTTCATCACACACTCTCAACAGGAATATTACAGCCTTGGGCAATGATCAGTAAGGTAGAAATAAGGCAAGAAATAAGCGGATGAAATGCAATCTCTTTCTTGTCCCTGTCTGCCTGTTTCTGGAAGATAAATGCACCTCAAAGCAGTTAGACAGAGGAGATGGAGGAGAGCTAGGAAATCAAGAGCCCCACCATGCGCACCATCCTTCCTCCACTCCTGTCCCAAGTAGAGATCATTCATAAAAAAATGGCAGGCTAATATCACTCTCATCCTATTGGCTGAACAACAAGATGTTTTTTATTCTAACTGGAATAAAGCAAGATTGAATGCACACAAAACATCAGTCTTATAATTAATCAAACTAACTGCAGGGAGTATACGGGAATGTGTTCAGGTCACACGGTGCTATGCTACACTACTCACCGGGTTATTGTCCCCACACAGCCGGAAAAAACACAGTTTCTCCGGGTAAATAAAAGCGTCAGCGTCGCTTTTTCTGACGCCGAATTCATCATATTTGCCAAAGCATTGCAAAACACATTACTAATGTACGCTCGGTAAACATCTCCGACTCCTACATATACGAAGACTCTCGTTCTTACCCGATAATGCTGGGTCTCTGTTGAGGAGGACCGTGTCCCTGCTCCGGTGCAGCGGGGCCGGGGTGCAGGACAGCCGGGGAGAGATGCACGGATGCTCGGCTCGCTTCGTTCCTGATGTGTCGTGCTGCTGGATCTCCGTGCAGCTGCTGCTTCTTCTTTAATGCACACACATCCACACACACACACACTCAGAGTGACTAAGTGGCCCTTGGCTACAGCAGCCGATCCCTGCAAACCATGTCACCGTGCAGGCGAGAGGCAGCAGTGACGGTGCTGCGGTGCGGTGCGGGGCTTTGGTGCTTGGTGCTGGCGGGTTTTTTCTCTCCTCCAGAGGCCGGGTTGGGACAGGATAGCTGCGGCGGAGGACAGTGTGTGTGTGTAAGTGGTGAGCGCCAGTGGAGTGAATTTAAACGGGGGGATGGTTCGCTGGGATTACGTGGTAGGGTTTTAATTAGACAGCGCTGCGCCTATTGGCACCGAGGTTGCGCACAGCCCTCCTCCTACTTCCCTCCCCTATCTGTTGTTCCTTCTCAGCAAGAGATAGATGCGTGCGTGTGTCACATCGTGGAACAATGGCGCACCATGCTGTGTGTGTAATATTATAATTTACTGCGCAATATTTCTGTACCTAATGATGCATACTGTATGTCAAAGATGAGCACATGATATAACATGATTATAGTAATGTTCTTTATTGACTCAGTGGAGAATATAATGTCCTGATTTTTGAATAAATTATCTGTAGTATGCATTATATGTATAATATCTATTTATTATAGGAGTCGTGGTCATTGTCTTTTTTCCTTGACACACAATTGGAATATTACATAGTTTGGCTAGATATCCAAAATAATTTTATTTTGTAGGAAAGTTACGTTAAAAGATACGCTAATATTATTCTATTTTCATTTAACTGTAGTTCAAATCTTATATACATGTCTATAAGGTGCAAATTATTTTTGTTATGCAGTGAGAAGAAATAATACAAAAAAAAACAGATTAAACCTCAATTGATGGAAAAATCGAACTCCAAAGCAATTTTGTCCAGTGGCACCACTTGGTATTGCAACCCCTTGCATTTCCCACAAACATTGTCAAAGAATAACCGATGTAAAACTGGTGAATACATGTCTTTGTCACAAACACGCCTGTTATTATTCTTATCACCAGAATTCACTTTATTCAATCCACACAGTCACATGATTTGATCTGCCACATATTTTATCCAATGGATTAAAATGAGAAAAGAGAAGTCTGGAAATCAGTGGAAACGTGTCACGATCATTTCAAAAAGGTTCGATCATTCTGTCCGATTACATCTGGAAATTAAAAAGGATGCTCGTTTAAATGACTGTATATCTGTTCAATTTAGCGTAGGGCCAAACTGGGTTCAGGCTTTGCCCCGAATGCTGTAAACAGTTTCCTTTATGCATTTGCCAAAACAGGAGCCTGTGATGTGAACAACTTTATAGAAAATCCTGTGACACCGTCTTTGACCTTTCAGATGTTGTTGTAGGGAGCCTATGGAGCAGAAATGAAAGAGTTTTCACATTTTTGTAAGTTTTTAGCGAAATGTTGTAATAATGCAACGCTGGGCTTCGGTGGGAGCAGAATTCCTGTATTTCTACTCATATTGTCTAAATAAATATATTGAACAACTAAAGGTTGATTTGCAGGATTGATTGCTTACTTAGCCCTATATCAGTATAGCATGAATAATAATCACACATCAGTCATATTTTTTATGAATAGTCATTTATTAAATATGAATACAATGGTAGTCCCAAAAACAGTTCCTATCGTCAGAAAAGCAGAGACGGACGTCACACTTGGTGCATTGTGTGTTTGTGTACCCTTTACTGCAGTGTGTGCAGCGTCCTCTCTTTGTCTTCACTGGAAAATGTGCCATTAAGTCCTTGCGTACATCCAGTGGAGGTTGTGATCTCTTGGATCCCATCACCTGAGGATGGTCTCTTGTGAGCATTCAACGGGCTCCTTGATGTCACCGTCGGTGCTGGGCTCCCGTTGCCTGAAGATGGTCGTCCTCTCTTGGGTGTTTTCAGAGGAGTTGTGTTCACCTGATTAGAACAGAATCAATCAAGATACATGCCTACATTGGGAGGTGTGTGGCGCAGTGGGTTGTGCGTAGGTGTTCGGATCAGGGGAGCACAGGTTCAAACCCCACTGCAGTCAGCATGTCGTTGTGTCCCTGAGACACTTCACCCCAAATTGCTCCTGTGAGGATTGCCCACAGTATTGAGTATGTAAGTCGCTTTGGATACAAGCGTCTAACAAGTAACATGTACAGTAATGTCAAAAATACATTAGGAAAAATATTACAGTGAAATATAAAAAAATATTACAAACGGCAAATAGCAGAAATGCATTCTTACCAGGATGAGAGAGGATGCTAGATCTGCCTGAAACTGTCTCCTGGTCAGGATCTCCTGCTTTGGCATCTTTAGAGCGTTGCACTCCCGCTTGTAGAGGAGCCAGGCGTTGATCACAGCAAGGATGATGGTGTGCCAGAAGATGTACACGTACCAGCGTCGGGACTTCATGGGTCTGGTCCAGCAAAGGATGACACAAGTGTGACCGCTCTGCTGTCATACGGTACCAACCACACAGATGTTGTGGTTGGCCTCCACTCGGATGTCAAAGCTTCCTCTCCCTTTTTTCTTCAAGCTCTTCTCCTCTTCAAGGTTACAGTTGGGTAAGCGCACCTGCCTGGCTGTTCCCACATAATGAATCCCACGATCAAGGAGCTTCACTACCAATGGGACACAGGTGAAGTAGTTGTCTGCGTAGATCTTGTAGTTCTGACCTTCTGGAAGAGTGGAGGCAAGCTTCATCACAACGTCACCTGACAATCCAAGTTCAGACTTGGCTCGTATCCCATTGGCACTGCCTTGGTACACTTCAAAGTCACAGATCATTCCAGAGATTCCAGTTCTCACCCACTTTCTCCGTTTTGGATGGCATCCCATCCTGCACACTGAATCGACGACCTCTCTTTGCTGGTGGCATTCTGAAGTGGACAAAGTAATTAATAAATATGTATCAATAATACATATGCTTATTATATTGTAATAGATTATCTGAAGGAATATATAGGGTGGTGGGACAAGTGTTCATTCTGTCTGGCTTAGACTATTATCAAATATGTACATGTTCTAGACATTGTAATAATCACAACAAATATTTGAGGCATTTTACTTACTTGAATCTGACATATCCGGTCCAATAAAACAAAGAGATGTTGCTCGTTTGAGGATTCGTAAGATGTGTGAGTGTATGCTCCAGAGGGCAGGACCTATAAACACATTTGCTACCCAATAGCATTGTGAGGCTGAACAAAAGGACCTTTTGACTAAATGTAGTCTTTAAAAAAACAAAACTTTTTTGGGATAGCTTAAAGGTGGGGTCGGTAATTTTGGAGAAACCAGCTCCAGTGTGCTAGAATTTGAAAATACACAACCGGAAAAGATCTGCCACTTCCTCACAGAGCCCCTCCTCCAACACACACGAACGCGCACATGACCAATGAGGGCACGAGATAAGTTTGTGCACAGATGGAAGGCTGACAGGCAGGTAGGCCATCCAGTTATTTTAGCCGGGCCGGCTCAGATGATTGGTCGTGCTTTTTACAGTATTACAGCTTCCACAGATGATGTTTATTTATGGATTTATTGTCAAAGCACTTCAGATATTCATTGCTATCGGGATGTTAAGAGCATTCCATGGAATATAACAACAAGTGTTTCTGAAATAAATTACATACCCCACCTTTAAAGTAATGTTGTAAAATGACAACAGTGGGCCTTACAGGGTTAATAGCGATAGAAATTTGGCATTTACGTTATGTTTATTTGATGTATTTGAGTGCAGTAAGTCTGCTTTTTGCTCCACATACTGTCGATCTGATTTTCTGTTATGCTTCTTCCATGGCATAATCTTCAGTGGACATATTTTTCAATAGGTGGGTTTACACTGCAAGGGAAAACATTGTGACTTCAAACCAAGCATAAAAACATGTTGTTTGCAATATTTGAACTTTTTCTTTTAATAACATTTGAACTATTAGCACTCCATACTTTCAATGCACAATTTACATGTGGATAAAACAGGTGGATGTAAATGCAGCTGTTACTCTTTACTTTTGTCAGGCAACCTCTCATATAGAAGTTTATTATAGAAGCACACCAACAGACAACATACATCAGAAGCAGAGGGCTTATACCTGCAGACATCAGACAGCAGTCAGTGGATATTGATGGGATGAGCAGCTTACCAGACCCTAAAAACACACACTCACACACACTCACACACACTGCGGTTGGCCGTCTGAGCCAGACATCAGCCACAGACTTCGTCACACCTCACAGAACTTTAGAGAGCTTGGCAAGGTTTTTTTTTCTTCATTACATCTACAGGTAGATGACTCAGCCGGTGGTCTCACTGGACTAAGTCTGATTGCTCATTGAAGGGACAGCTGCCCTGCGTAACCAGCGCTGCCCGAACAGGAAAATCTAAAACGACACAACCCTAAAGGGAGCATGTGAGCGTTCAGCAGCAGAAACAATTTCCTCAGACAACGTGTGCCAGGATGGATTTTTAGACAAGGAATGTGACGCAGAGAGGTTTCAAGGATGGTCAGCCTCTTAATCAGCCAAGGTAGCATGTGATGATCATGTCTCATTGGCCTTCGGCTGTTTAGGCAACACGTACTCTGATGACGTCTGCAGTGAGTGCTCTCACCGCGTTCACCTCCTTAGAAAGCTCCAGATGCATGCCAATTGGAAATACCATATCCCAAAAATCACAGTCAATGTTAACTTCAGAGAGGGCAGAGTGCTGAATGAAAAGGTAGAGGATTCACTTGACAGCTGGTATGACAAAATGCATGAGATATATTTTATGGAAAGAATCACTTTCTCAATGATGAGGCTTCAGGAAAACACATTTGAGGAAACGTGGAAAAAGTGGAGAAATTAGATATCCCAAAGACGACAATCTCTTGTTTGACTGTGCTTCTACCGCCTGAATGTGTATGTATGTGTGTATGTATGTATGTATGTATGTATGTATGTATGTATGTATGTATGTATGTATGTATGTATGTATGTATGTGCATATATATATGTGTATATGTATGTATGTATGTATGTATGTATGTACAGTATGTATGTATGTATGTGCATATATATATGTGTATATGTATGTATGTATGTATGTATGTATGTATGTATGTATGTATGTATGTATGTATATATGTATGTATGTATGTATGTATGTATGTATGTATGTATGTATGTATGTATGTATGTATGTATGTATGTATGTATGTATATATGTATGTATGTATGTGGATGTATGT